CTTTTTTTTTTTTTTTTTTTTTAAGTATTAGTTTAATATTTTGATGCTTTGACAGTACGCACTATTTTCACAGGTTCTTCCGGGGTCTTGGTACTTAACTACTCCTGCAAGTTAAACACTGCTGTGATTCAATTACATTACCTTTGACTTAGAAGAAGCTGTCACGTTATCAGATGTTTTAAACCCCCAACTCGTTAGCAATCTGCCTGTTTCTTGCTTGCCCAGTAATGCTCTCTGCTCGCGTTATTTTTAAAGTATAGATCCCAAAGCCCTGTGCTGGGATCACTGAATTTTTTGTGTTTTGACAATTGAGTCTGCTCACAATGCAGTTGTATTTGGCATGTCTTGTTACAAACCTGTAAATCAGGTGCTTGAGGTATACTGTTCTATTGGGGTCTGTTCACTCTTACTTATCTAAAACACAGGTATTTTTATAAGTGGCTTTTGAATATATGTTGATAATACAAGACATTTTGATAACACACATTACTTTTAGGAACAAGTATTTTGATATGACATGTTATTTTCCAAAACCAGGAGAATTTTTTTTTGTCAAATACTTGTTTTCAATTTTCTGGGTTAAGGTGTGGTTATTTTCCAGTTCATGAGACTACCTGAAAATATTTTTTCTTCCTTCTCCTCCCTTGTTCCCTTAAACATATACTTTAAAGAAGATTAGAGTGTCTTTATAAGATAATTCATAGATTAAGGTATCATCTGTTTAGCAAATGAAATACAGTTTATTTTTCCTGCTGGCAGGTATGATGGAAAGAATAACAATAATTTATACCTGTTGAGAGACTCATTATGTTGGTTATGTATTTAATCAAATAAAGCCTCTATATTTCTGTATTTCCTCACCCTAGAGTTTTGTTTTGTTTTCCTGTTTGTAAAATTAAAGGCTTGCACAGGAGAAGGATCTGCAACTGCCTGAAGTATTGTAAAAAAAACAACCACCAAAACCCAAAACAAATCCCCAAAACCTGTAGCTAGAAAGTGTACTTGGAGAACTTTAGATGTGTAGGGAGTTAAAATGTGTGTGATGCAGTTTGTATAGACCAGGTTTAATTAGGACACCCATGTGGGAAAATGGTGTTCTCAGGGCCATGAATGCTGTAGCAAGAATGTCAGGACAAAATTTTTGTGGCTTATAATGAACAAATGAATGGCAGTATGTTACCATCTTTTTTTTTATGGTTAAAAAAATGAATAGTCAAAATTAAATGATGATGGCTCTAAACCAGAAATTCTAATGCTATGTTTTAACATCATTAGAAGTTTTCCTGTAGAATGTAGAGATTTTTTTTAAGAATTAATTTCCACAAAAATTTTAACTGAGAAGTATGTATCTCACTTTCACCAAAGGCTGCATGCCCTCAGTTTCTGATGGTATATATTTTATGCATTGTTTTAGGAAATGGTACAGTTGTTGCTGTGCAGCTGGATGTTGCTGAATAGTGTTTCTATGAGCTTGCTGTTCAATCTATCTGTTGTTCAGAATGGCAAAGAACCCTAATTTTCAGGAAGTTGGTCATCTGCCTACAGGCTACGTCCACTGTAGATCTTCAGACAGCTTTACTGGTGAGTGGCCCAGTGTATTTTCTTGAAATTTTAATTTAAGGGTTTAGTTGTATGCCGTTTTAACCAGGCTGTATCAAGTGCATTAATACCTATTTTAGATATATGTTAACAAATAATCGGCGCTTAGTATGTTGTTCTTTGTACCTAGCTAAGCTTATTCCAGTTCTTCTATCAGAATATTACATCTTTGGACAGAAAGTCAAACACTAGCAGTACAGCACTTAAGTAATGGGAATGTGTTTGCAGACGAGGAGTACATAACTTTCCATATGCTTTAAGTCAAACCATTTCTGGTACTAAATTGTTGTTTAGAATGCTGTCACTGAATGGTGTGGTTATTTACCATTAACCATCGTTAACATCTGCTTTTCACAACAGAAGGGCTGGAGGTGAGACTTAAAAGTTCTGTGAATTTCATTTACTTGACCTTTCCTATTCTGTATCTATGAATTAATACTATATTGATTATATTATTATTGGATACTAAGTATCAGAACATGTTTTGTTTTTTTTTTCCCTCTTTCTGTTACAATTTTCATTCATAGTCAATTTTATTGTTATTTAGAAGGGCAAAGGAGCTTTGTAGCAAGGGTTATGAGGGAATCAAAGTATTTATTTGGGTTATACTCTGTGTATCTTGAAATATTTACAAAAAAATCCTATGTCTCAATTCTCTTACTGTACCAGAATTTGTAAGAACAAAATATTGTTGTTTAAAGACATGTTTATATCCTTTAAAAAAACCGAACCATATGATTTGAAACAATGGTACGTTTGTACAATAGCTTTAGTGTCACACCTACCATGTTCTGTGAGTCTGTAGTAATAGAAATCATAATTAAAGTAATATTTTGCTGGAATTTATTTAAAGCATAACAAAATATTTTATGAAGTAATGAATTACAAAAATTGAAATACTACTTAAATCCCTTCCAGACATCTGAGAACCAGTTCTTATTTCTAGATAAAATAGTGGTGTAAGAGAACTAGATATAAGAAAATTCCCTTTGTGTAATTCTAACAAAGTCTTTATTACCTTGCTGGGTACAAACTAGATGATGAAGGAATTAAGTGTTTCAAGGATATGAAATTATTTGCTCAGTCTTTATAATCCAGATTTACTTCATGTAATTTTTAATCCTAGCAATAGCCTGGCTATTTGCATTTATTGCTGAAATTTCAGTAGGGTTATCAGTTATGTAAACATTTTTCACTGATTTTGTATAAGAAAAAAATCCAAATTAATCATGAACAATTTATTAATATTCCTTTTTCTGTGCCTGGTATAAAAACAGCTCTTCCATGTTTTTTTGAAACAGCATTGCTTTTTAGAGGACTGTTCAGTGAGAGCCCAAATGGGGGGGAGTGACTGAGTACCAGTCTTCATTGCTGCTTGTTTGAGAGTTGGTTAGTAAAGATGTCATTGGGGTTTTGCTGTTGCTGCATTTTCTATGACACATTTTTGTATGCCATAACGTGTTATAGATTACTAAAAGAAATACAGCAAGCTGAAAACTGTGGGGTTTTGTTGTTTTTTTAGCCATGACATGCATTGTGTAATATTGCACATTGCCTCATGTAATAAATACTAGGTCGCATTTTTTCACATGCTCACTGTTGAAGATGGCCACCAAGAAGCGTGTCTTCCCATGGGGTCTTACACAGAAGTGATTTGTAGGCCTTCTGACTTTAGCAGATGCCTTTTGAGATTGTTGCAGTTTTCAGGGTGCCTCAGACTCACGTAGAAGACTGTTTTCTTTATTTCTGTGGCAGGAACTGCAGCAGCTGACTTCTGAAGCAGTTAATTAGCTCTGAATACCTCCTGGAAATAGGTTATGGTGCTGGGAAGAGGCTTGTAAATGGCTTGGCCTTTTATTCTGAAGTTGGTTAAGTGTTCTTTGACTGCCAGAAAGAGTAAACACCTGTGTTCTCTGAAAGGGGTGATGTTGTTGGATGACAGAAGATGCCAGAGGGATCTTTAGGAAGGGTTTTGCCAAGCTCCTGGCAGCATCTGTCTTTTTTTATAATAAATAATACTTTGAGCTGCAACTAAAAAATATGTTTAGCTGTACAAGGAAGTCATGAGCTCATAGCAGCTTGCCACAACTAAAGCAGTATATTAATCTTTACTTCCTCAAACAAGAAATGTGCAGATCACTTCAGGGATTGACTGAATTCATACTATTAATTAATCCAGTCGGGGAACATCTGAAATCATGTATTATTTGGTTCTGTGTTTTGAAGGTGGGACTTCTCTCACCGCACTGCTTTATATGGAAAATCCACAATGTAGACAGAACTTGCATTGGAAATCGTAGTAGCAAACAAATGAGTTTGACTGCTCGTTCTATATACTGGTCTTATCCACGGAAAGCATATAAGGCATATACCCAGTTTCATAATGTTGCAACTTTCCAACACTTTGTATCATTCAAGCACTTGAAAGACTCCTTCAGCCAGAGGCCTGTAGCTGTCGTTTGAGTCCTGTATTCCCTGTGATCCACATGTTCTTGGTTGAAACTGTCAATTTAGAATAGTAGTTGTACTAGCAATTTGGAGACCATTTAACGTCGAAAAAAATTTGTCTTGCAGCTTACACCAAGGGCTTTCTAAATTTTTATTTTCATCGCTTGTGGTAGTTCAGGGTCTTGATGTTCATAAGGACTGGGATCACCCACTTACTAGCAAGTGTCCTCCGTTCAGACTTTGCCTCCTTCTATGCACTGATTCTTGTTTAGATAGAGGTTTATCTACCCTTTAGAGGGAAGTCTGCTTTTGATTGTATTTTTTTAACCTGAAATGGAAACAATTTTCCTTTGAACTTTTCACTCTGTTAGCACATGAGAACATCCACAGCTACTGTGTAGCTGATGGCATTCCCATATCTCTGCCAATTTTACAGTCTCTCAGTTTTATGCAGAAAGCACCTGTTCTTATTTTTTAGAGATAAGAGCAGATGGAGGAAACAAGTAGAATGTAGAAGAAATGGAAATAAAAATAGAATTTAAACGCAGAATATACTTGTACTTACACGTGCATGAAGTATCATAAATGAGCTTCCCTAATCAATCAGAATCGGAACTAGCAGAAGTGAGTACAGAGTTTGCTTGATAATGTGCATGTAACTCGCTTATGATTGGGTTGCCTGACTATTGTGAATGAAGATCAACAGCTGCAGTTATAGACTTGTAAGGTACAGAAGTCATGAGGGGACATTGAGGCCTGAGATTTGCAGCTGAGTAATAAATACATCCTTTTGTTTGCTCCTTTGGTGTAATAAAAGGTTTTATATTTTGAGGGCTTTTCAATTTTACTATTGTCTCTAAAGTCTCAATTATGTTGTGATAAATATTATTGCTGGTATAAATAGATGTGAGTTAAGTTAATCTTGCTTGTTACGAAGTAAATGTTACTGGAAGTGTATGTTGCATAAATCTCTTCAGTGCTGAGTTGTTTTAGCTAATTGTAAATTAATCAGTGCAAATGGAAGAAATGGTCTGTTATTCTGAAAAACCATAAAAATTAATTTACTGTCCTATCAGGATAGAAGAATGTATTCTGTGTTCCTATGGTTAGGCTGGCTCCAGTATCTTGTCCAGTATTGCTGGTTCCACACCATAGTGGTTACATGGGCACAGAGCTTCAAATTCGATTAGCAGAGGCAGCCTCAGGAAAGCTGGGGTTTTGTTCCCGTTTGTGCTCTAACCTGTATTATCAATTCAGTTTGCTTTATTTTTCTCAACTGTTACTTTCTAACACTTTTTCTAGTTTATTTGAAAGTTCTTTGGGACCCTGTTTCTACAGTATCTTGATTTTTCGGTTGTTTACAGATGTTACAGAAGTGCAAATAATACTTTACCCCATGGGCACATGTTTTCTTTTCTTTGTTAGGGCAGAAATGAAAAACGGGTGCATGTTTTCTCAGAATACTTTTAAACTATAGGTTAAAAATGCATTCTTGTTATGAATATATCACTTTAAAGATTAGTGTTAGCTGTGTGCAGGGCATGGCCTTATCATTTTCCTGCTTCTTGTGGTACACCATCTTTCTTCAACACTGAGTATGTGCCCATGTTGAGAAGTGGTTAGTCACTGGAATGTGGAAGGTGTCTCTGAAAATGTGGATGGTTATTACCTGAAACAGACAACTTTTATTTAACAGTAAACCAAAGTGTAACAAAAGGAGCTGATGTAAGACCTAAATTCTCCTGTGGATCCTCTTGCCACTGAGACTACAGAAAGCCTCTGTTGCTGAAATAAACCAAACCCAACAAAACTAAGACCTCTTATGAATCAAGAAGTAACAAAATAATTCCATAAAAGATATGGCTAATGCATTAATCAATATTGTACATTAGTGGACAATCTACTTTTATGACTGAGAGGTATTAGGGGGTTTATTTCCTTACATATATCAGGGAACAAGAAGGTATCCAGAAAACTGAGTGAAAAAGTTAAGAAAATTGAATTTACATTGTAAAGCTTTGCTCCTTGACAGACTTTGTCTGTTATTTATTAAAATATTATCTCAGTTGTTTATTTTCTCCCAGTTCTGAAAGTTGATTGGAGTTCTGCAAAAACGTGGACATTTTCACTCATCACTGATTTTAGTAGAGACTTAGGAGTTAAGACTGTGCTTAATTGGTCAAATTATTTTTCTTTATAAATTATTTGCATTTTAATGCTTTCTAATGGTAACTTTAAAATTGTTCAAATTTTAATTCCTTTTGTTGGATGCTTTTTATTTTAAGTAAATAGGTTGACAGAACAACATGGTGACAGAATTCTCTGAAATATTTTCTGTCAGCTAGAATTGTTGATGAAAGCTACATCAAGTCCTGCTGTAAGTGAACTTTAATAGGAAGCCCGTCGGTTAATTTTTCTTGTAACATATGGTGATTTACACTGGTCACTTTTTTTGTAATTACAGCTTGATCTTTGCCATTTTTTAATATTTGTGCCCTTTATAACTCTGGTTGTTTTCTTTTTCCCTTTAGGCTACCAGTATCACCATCCCTCCAAGATGAGTAACAGCCATCCACTTCGTCCTTACACAGCTGTGGGTGAGATTGACCATGTTCACATTCTGTCTGAGCACATTGGTGCTCTGATGAATGGTGAAGAATACAGCGACGTTACCTTTATTGTAGAAAAGAAACGTTTTCCTGCACACAGGGTGATCCTGGCTGCTAGGTGCCATTATTTCAGGTGAAATATAGCTTTTTGTCAAGCTTACAGGAAATTTTCATGCAGATAAGATAAACATTGTTTCTCTATGAACTTTTCAGGGTGTAATCATCTGTCCATTGAGTGTGACCTTTTCTGTGTGAATGTTTCCCAGCGCATCAAATCATTGTGTCCAAATATAAAAAGATAAATACCATGTCATGATGTTATTCTTTTGACCTTCATTAAATTGGATTTTCAAGGTAGTTTCACAAATTCAAGAGGAAGATAACTTCAGAACACAAAAGTTCTGCCGTAAAATTGTTTTGATTTCTGAGAGTATGGATGGTGTGCCTCTACGGAATATACTCAATTAGAAAGTTTAATTTTGTTGTGTTGGAATTGAGTATTTAAAGAGGTCTGGCTAGTTAGGATATGTATTTTACAACTAGGAATAATACTAATCCATCTTTTTTAAGAACTGGGCATTTTTCATTCTAAATGTAATTAATAGAACTTCCTGATAATATTCCAGTTAATTTTGTTAGAGGGATAAGATGATAACTAAAGGACAGTGTGTATGCAAATTGTGTTCAAACTGTCTACTGTATTTTAAAAAATAATTGTGAGTGCTCTGATTTTTCTCAAGATTCAGAATTTCATCACAGTTGCCATGTGCTGGATTTTATGGGAAGGAAACAGAGGATCAAGAATCCTGAGATTTGCTAAACTGCCACTGCTATTATAGTGGTGAACTATTTTATTGACTTGCTTTCTGAATATTTTTCATTTTTTTTTTCCTTTCTCACTGATAGCGCTATATTTTAAAAACAAAAAAGAGAAAGGTAAGAGTTCAAAGTTCTTTTTTCTTTCAAAGTTCTGCTTTGAAGGCTAATGTTCAAAGTTCAGGTGGAGAGTTGTGTAGGATAAAAAATATGACACATTAGAGTATTATTCTTGTGCAGCTGCTTTCAGAGTAGAGCTGCACTTTAAATGCCAAGTATAAGAGGTTTTCTTTTGTAGATTCTTAAACCATATCCCGTTTGTATTCCTCTTGCTGTAAATAGTAATTTGCTCATTTCTCTTTCTATTTTCTGCCTGGATTTTATCAGGATATAAATTTATCAAATTTTATCTTCCTTATAGAGCATTATTGTATGGTGGAATGAGAGAATCTCAGCCTGAAGCAGAAATTCCTCTTCAGGACACCACAGCAGAAGCATTTACCATGCTGTTGAAATACATTTACACTGGTCGTGCTACACTACGAGATGAGAAAGAGGAGGTTCTCCTAGACTTCCTAAGCCTAGCACATAAATATGGGTTCCCAGAACTGGAAGATTCCACGTCTGAGTATCTTTGCACAATACTTAATATTCAGAATGTCTGTATGACATTTGATGTTGCCAGTCTTTATTCCCTTCCCAAATTAACTTGTATGTGCTGTATGTTTATGGATAGAAATGCCCAGGAGGTGCTCTCCAGCGAAGGCTTCCTGTCACTTTCTAAGGTATATATTTTGTTTGCACTTTTTTCCCCCAGGAATGTTAATTTTAGTCTGTATGCAGCTTTATGATAAAATACTAATGGGGGCACCAATACGAGTTTATAACTTAGATAACAGGTATCATTTTATAATAGTGGAACTGTGACAGTTGGAAAAGTTCAAGCCAAATTGAACTGAAAATCCTGGTGATCTGTCCTGATTTTTTTAGGTATTTAATTTTGACCAGTCAGTAGAGCTAATTATAGTAAATCTGATGGAGTATTATAAAAGGTGGGATCAGGCAATTTAATCTTTGCCTTTTTTCAGCTGTTCCTGAAATTATATAATTTGACTATCATGCACAGTTCATTAAATCTGAGCTCTGAGAGCATGTTATTCATAAAGAAATTAGCAGACTTTATCAGGAAGCGCATACTTTATGACATCTTTGCCATAGCCAGTCCTGGTATATATGAGATTTATCTTTTTCTTAGGGAAACTCTTAATTAATTTGCTAGCTAAGTGAAAATCAAAATGCTGTTCAGTTCTTCTTGTTCTCATTTTACAGTCAGTGGGGTTTTTTTACATGAATAAGAGCCACTGAAATTTTTACCTGCTGATTCTAAGTGGGTACCAAAAGAGAGAGAGAAGGGGAGGACAGGGAGGGGGTAAAGTCTGAAGTAGTTAGAAATGTTTTAAAAAGGTGATTCCAAGCCACACTTTATTTTTTTTCATCTGTGTTCTTATACCAGCCCAAGTTTAAAGGAATGCTTTGAACTATTCTACCAAATCCCCAAATCACTTCCTGTATTTCAGAGTAAATTTGAAGTAGTAACTGGAATTAAATTGATTTGAATAGTTCTCCACATTTCAGTTCTGACTTAATTCTCCTGGTGGGTTTGTAATATGCAAGAATTAGAGAATCTATCACGTAAATAATAGGTAATAAGTAACTAAAGCTAGAGTTTCAGGTAGTCACTTATTTGGAGAATATCTTAATAAGTACAAGTTAAAATACCTATTTTTTTAACCTTATTTTATTTTTTTTTTAATTAATTTTGTTTCTGTTTATTTGGGGGGTTTTGTTTGTTTTTCTTTTCCAGTCTGCTCTTCTAAGTATTGTACTGAGGGACTCATTTGCAGCTCCTGAGAAGGACATTTTTCAAGCTTTAATGAATTGGTGTAAACATAACCCCAAGGAAAACCATGCTGAAATCATGCAAGCAGTACGATTGCCACTAATGAGTCTAACAGAACTACTAAATGTCGTAAGACCGTCCGGACTGTTGTCACCTGATGCCATCCTAGATGCCATTAAGATTCGTTCTGAGAGTCGGGACATGGACCTCAACTACAGGGGCATGTTAAGTAAGTATCAGGTTTTATGTTTGTTTCTTTTTCGTTTAGTTACTATAGTTGTCTGGAGGATATGGTTAATTTGTGCTTTGAGTTTTTATCTATTATGTGTTTTAAAAAGCTTACATAATATCTTATGTACTGCTATTGCCATTTCTTTTCTTCAAATAATATTAGGCAACATATTTTCTTGCCTTGTGTATCAGATATTGCTCAAACATGAATGTTGTAATAAGAATGTGTTTTCCTAGAGAAAGTGCTATTTTAATGGAAAAGCTTTTGCAAATACATTAAAAATAAAAATGCATTTGCAGCAGGTTATATGATATTGAAATGGCTTTATGTTGATGGTGACTTGTTTTCTACTTCATAAAGATTTTCATCTTTTCTCCACTACTTTTGATTTTTCTCTTACTCATTACATGCTTGCCCAAATAGTATAAACAAGTCTTCCAAGATTGTATTAATGGAAGCCCGAAAAGTGTGAGGAGCCTTCTGTTTGATTTTTGTCTGTGCTTTCTGTTAATTCAACAAGAATATCTAACACTGAGCTGTAGAAAGATATTATCTACTGTGTGATTTACAGAGTATTTGCCCCACAGCAAAGAATAAAGTTAAATGTTCCTTAAGAGCCTGCACTGTAGTCTGTCAGTCATGTATGATGAGCCTTGAAAATAAGTGCTTTCTTGGAGCTGCATCTCCCCTTTGTTCTCTCTTAGAAGTTACAGATATTAATATTTAAACATATGAGTTTAATATTAAGATATTGTTAAAGGCTTGTCGTGCAAAGCATTCTGTTGACAGTGCAGTTGATAAATTTGAAAAATTTAAATGGTGTTTTCTGACTTCTTTTTCTGCATATTTATGTCTCAGTATGCTTCTAATATAAAAATTTCAAACTGGCAAAATCACAGCTTTTTAGAGAATTGAATTTGTGATGGTTTAGTACTACTTCATGTTCTTGGGACTTTTGCTGTTTATGGAAACATTGATGACCACTTGCAATTTCATAGCTGAGCAATTTATATACTACAGTGCAGTTAACATTTTACCGCTCAAATTCTGTTCTTTAGATGTTAAATTTAACATCCTGTTAAAAATCATACATCTGTTGCCAACCTGCCTGAAGAGTTCAGAGGCAGCTTTTCATCACTTAGCTTTCAGATCACGTTTTCTAGGGTTTCTCGTCAAGACTGTTAAAAATGTCTTTTTAACAGGGTGGTTCACCAATATATTGTTTTGTAGTTGGAGTTAGGGATCATTATCCCTAGTTAATCTTGTTGGAACATCTGTTCCTGGGATGTAACGGGTTTATTAATGTGAAATGGTGGCATAAATAACTTGCTTTACTGTGTGGGTTCAAAGCCCAAGCAACCAAGTTTCCTGTTTCACTCAGGTTCATTTAGCTTTGTAGAGTACAGGAAGCTTGTATACCTATTGAAATAGTTTGTATAGCTATACCACTGTCTATACCACCCTGCAGATTCATGATGCATCCTCATCTTGAGCATTTAATGTGATTTTTTTTTATTTTCCTTCCACTTCAAGAAAACCCAAAACCCCACCCAAAAAACCCAGTTGAAATTAGAACAAAAAAAATGGGAAAGAAAGGGTAAAAAATTATTAGAGGTATGGTGAGAGTTGATCACAAGAAGAGTGTGAATAGACCAAAACTTTAAAACCAAGAGGAAAGCTATGATTGAATGAGGAAGTTTCAATAGAATTCTGTAAAATCGTGAAGGGGGCTGAGAATATGGATAGTACATAGTAGTAAATTACCACTAATTATTATTACCATAAAAGACCTAGGGAAACATTGAATGAAATGGAAGAATCAAAATTTCTAAAATGCCATTCTTCTTGTATTCATGTTTTGTTGTTGTTTTTTTTTTTTTTTCTTGAGTGTGTGTTGTGGCCAAGAAAGGATACTGGCAGTAAATCTTTGTTCTGACCTAATACAGTTGATGTTCAGAACATCTAATTTGCAGTATGAGAGTGTAAAAAAAATAAGTAATTATTTCCTTTTCTTCTTAGTACCAGGGGAAAATATTGCAACAATGAAGTATGGAGCTCAGGTTGTAAAAGGAGAGCTGAAGTCTGCTTTATTAGATGGGGATACTCAGAACTATGACTTGGATCATGGCTTCTCTCGACACCCTATTGATGATGACTGCCGTTCTGGAATTGAAATCAAACTAGGCCAGCCATCAATAATCAACCACATACGAATACTCCTGTGGGACAGAGACAGTCGGTAGGTGCCAAGTTGACATAAAAAGAGACGGTAATGCATTTTGTATTGGTAATAATGTATCAGTGTGAAATACTCATCAAAATGTTCCATAGAAACAACATGATACAGTGTTGGAGATGACAAGTTTTATTTGAAAATACTGGGTTTTTAAATGCAGGTTGGGTTACTCACACACAAAACCGTATTTTGTGATACTAAACTACCTCATAATACTTCAATGTATTTTCTGTCTTCATTAAATAGTTTATATTACTAATGAAAGTTTATGTAATTTAAATTGTTTTAATTGTTTTCTATTTGCTGCTTAGTTTCCAAGTGCTTTTATTTTAGTTTAAAAAACAGTATTCTAGTTCTCTTGCAGAAGCCATGTTTTTTTACATATTTACATTCACAGAATCGTTCAGGTTGGAAAAGACCCTTGGGATCATGGAGTCCAACCATCAGCCCTACTCTACAAAGTTCTCCCCTACACCATATCCCCCAGCATCTCATCTAAACGACCCTTAAACACATCAAGGGATGGTGACTCCACCCCCTCCCTGGGCAGCCCATTCCACTGACCACTCTTTCTGTGAAAGATTTTTTCCTAATGTCCTGTCTGAACCTCCCCTTGACACTGAAGGAATGTTTGTTCAGATTTTTTAAATGTAACAAAATTGTCAAGAAATACCACACTGACAATAATTGAGAGATATTAATATTTATTTAGAATGTGAATTACTGACTAACTACAGTAGTTATTAGAAGCCACTTCATGGTGGGACTGGTGAAGTATGAGCTGTCATAGATGCCTTAGCCAATTTATGCTCAGATACTTTATTATGGAACGTATGAAAGATCAAATTATGCATATTTGAACAACTGAGTGGCTGCTTAAGTAGGAAAATTGTGAGCTTCTTTTTATCAGACATATTGAGTATATTAGTTTTATAACTTGCCATGACAGAGATTTTACTGTTTAGTAGACAGCTCATGCAGGTATTCATAAGCAATTTTCTATTAAAAACAATAAAATAAGCTACTTATGCTTTCAACACATTATTACTTTTATGATAAAAGATTAATTTTATATTACATGCAGACTAACAGTTTAGAAATGCAAGGGTTGCATTTTGTTTTCTTAACTAAGCTGTGTTATTTTTATAACAGGGTGTACTAATGTTTTATTGATTTTTTTTTTGAGTGATTTTTTTTAAAAAAATAATTTCAGTTATTAATAATTCAGAACAAACTGCATTAATTTTGAGCTGTTGTTTCAAGTACTTCTGATTCAGTTCAACTGAAATTTATGCTTCTCTCTTTCTTTTGGGAAGATTCAAAAGTAAAACTTAGAAGCTACAAGGAACTACTTCATACAATATTATACTACTTGTCCCAGAAGATCAACCAAATTTCTAAACTAATTATCAACCAATTTTAAAAAATTGGATAAGTATTAGAGCTATATTAATAATGAGGAGTTCCCTAGCAATTTTTAGAGAGCTAGTAACTAGGAAAATGCCCCTCAACTGCAAGCCATAAAAGCTGCTGAAACCTAGGGAAAAACTCTTCTCCTTGGAACAGCTTATTAAAAAAATATCTGTTGCTTGGTGTCCTATGCACTTTCTCTGAAACTTGTAGAACAAATGATTGTTGCTGGCAGAGTATCAGACAAGGTGGACCTCTCGAGTTTTTTGTCCCTGTAAAATACCGAGGGTACAGTGGTTTAGTATCTAGTTCCTGTGTTATCCTGAATTTTTTGTTTTTCTGTGAAAAGTTTGCTGTTGGACTTTCTTTTGCTTCTTATCAGGTATAGTACCTGAATTGTCAGGTTTTTTTCCCCCAGTAGCTCAACTGTCTAAGATAAATGGAAAAGGAACCATTTGGAGTATTTTGTCCAGTTGTGGGCTCCTCAGTATAAGATACTGGAGTGAGTTCAACAGGATACCAAGATGGTGAGAGCTTGAGGACACAATGTACAGGAGATACTGAAAGAACTTCTTCTTTTAAGAGAAGACATAGAAGTGAGAACTTAATGCTGTGTTTGCCTACTTAATGGAAGAATATAGACAATACAGTGCCAGTCTCCTCTTACAGCTGTGTGCTGAGAGGGCATAGAGCAGTGGACACAAGCAACAAGATTAATTCCTATTAAAATATTAGGAAGATAATTCATAATGAGGTAGTTGAAATTGGGAATAGTTTGCACAGAGAGATTATGGATATCACCCCTTGGATGTATGCAGAACTTTACCAGCCAAGGCTTTGCGGAACTTGCTCTAAGATTGTCCTCGATTTTTCTACAAATCCTTTCCAACCTCTATGCTCTTTTAGTGTAAGAATTACCAGCCACTTGTCTGCATCTTTCTCATGGGATACCTGAATAATGTCTCCAAAAGATGTTTTAGCAACTGTATGAGCACATGGTGGATTCTTGTTGAACATCTTTTTAAACTACTCATTCATTTTAACTTTGGTCTAATGGATATCTTTATATAGATGATGTAAATTCTTAAGAGAACCAAATACAAACTAATGGGCATATTTTCCACCTCTGGTTTAGAGGTGTTATTAACAGATTGATCTTTAGGTGTGAAAGTGCTAAGGAGACTAGCTGTCCAAATTAGCTCTCCAAAAAAGATGCTATCCTTAAGAAAAATAAAAGGCATAGTGTCGTCTATGATAGTGGAACTATATTTTTGAGATAGTTTTTTCTTTGCTTGGTACCTTCAGAAAACAAAAAAATAATAGCATGTGGTCTGTTGGTTACGTATTTACATTATTCTAACAATGGTGATGGGAGAACCCCTAAATTCTTACCACACAGAGGACAGACAGTAACTTCTGGATCCAAAATGCTCAACTCTAAAATGTTGGAGCCTACTTCAGTTAAATATGCATAAACTAGTAATAATAATGTTGCTAAAACACAGTGTATTTATATGGGCTGTGAATATTACACATCTGGTTGGTGTGAATGTGAAAGCTGATTATGCGACTGACATCTTAGACTGCTTTACATTTCTAAGTGCACAAATTGGTATTAACAGTGTTATCCAGCATTTTAAGACTTTTTAAACAATACCACTTTAGACACCTACCCTTCTAAGTCCTTAGCAGAAAATTGGAAATACTAATAAAGCATTTAATGTTTAACAAAAAGTGTCATGTAGAACTCTGGAAGAGCAGCTCTTCTTCTAAAAATCAGTGTGAAAGGAGGATAAGTACTAACATGGTCCTGTTGAAATGCCTGTGAATGTTGCAGACCAATATATTAAGAGCAAAAATATTCTGAAACATATTTTACGATTTGCTGATCCACAGGTGGAGTTCCTACTTCTTTCTGTGTATCACTGTTGTAGGTATAATACAGAAATAGTTCTGGCTTTTAAGTATTAGTTTGAGTTTTCTTTCTCCTAACAGCAAACTATAGGCTAAACATAACTGATAAACAAGAGGAAGACACAGATTCTTTTGATCACTTTTTTAAAAATTTTTTTATGAGGTAATTTTGGGATATGTAAGTAGTGACAGGCTTAATGTATCATAAACAACTGAAAGGGATAGAAGTAAAGAACAACATCAGTGAGAAAACTATGATAAATTTGTTTTTTTCAAGTGAAGGGTTTGAATATGTATTTTTGATCTGCTAAATGTTTTTTATTTTTCTTTATTGATATGGGAATAGAAATAATAACTGTTTCACTGGTGGTTTAGATTTATTCCATGCAGAAGGAATACAAATTATTATTTTTGGATTGAAAGTCTCCATTGCATTTTTTGAGAGACCATGGTGTCATCTAATTACTGCACATTGTGAATCTTAGGATGTTTTAAGTCATTCTGAAAACATATCTTAATGTAACTGCATGTGAATTTATTTTCAAAGCTAGTTTGAAAATAGGGATCTCTTTTAGGTATGTTAGATACAGGTCTGTGGGTAGGAACAAATAGTCTTCTTTTCAAAACAACTGAAAATCCAGAAGAAAAGGTGACATTTAATACCTGAAATGTGGCTGCTTGTATTCTAAACAGGTTGTTTTGGCAATCCACAGATCTTATTCCTACTACATTGAGGTGTCCATGGACGAGTTAGACTGGATTCGGGTTATTGATCACTCTAAATACCTCTGTCGGTCCTGGCAGAACCTGTATTTTCCTGCCCGTGTCTGCAGGTTAGTTCATCAATGTAATGTAGCATGGCTGTCATTAAATAATGTAGACACCGGGAGAAGTTGCTGGATTTTTCTGATGAATTATGTATTTCTGATAATGTATAATATACACAACTTTCATTAGCTATCTTAAAAAAAGAACATTTGTCTATCTTGATGGATGCTTTTTTGCTATAAATATAGGTGATAAATTGCAAGTATCCTGTTTTGAAAACTGTGATTCTTTTTTTTTTTTTTTTTGTCATACTCACTTTTCCTCTTACAATTGATTTGTTTTTTTCACTCAGTAGTAAACATCATTCCTTGACTGCCAAAATGTTTAAAATGTGTTGCTATAGAACTTGGAAATGTATTTAAACATATCTTTTAAATATTTTCTATTGTTTCATTGAAAGCGTGTTTTAAACAATTGTTAAAGATTGAAAAGGGAGAATTGGGGCTAATAAGGTTTGAGCAATGCTTTGTGTAAACCAGAGCAGCTAGATGGGTTTAATCATTATTAAGGTGGTGATGTCTTTTTACTCTAGGTGCTGGGAATTGTGGAAAAAGCTTATAATCACATTGAAGCTGCCTTATCCAAAAACTGAATCAAGCTCATTGATAGAGAGGCTACATTGTGTAGATTCCAAAGATGTTATCATCGTTAGGTTTTGGGTCATAGACCCAAAGAGGAAATGCCCTGTATAGTAATAATTATGCTCTAGACACAAACTTTAATCAGCAGAACAACTCTCGGAATCCTCAAGGAGGGGAAGTGCTTTCTTTTTCCCAAAGAATGATCTCTTTCTCTGATGTTACTGCTCTGTAGCATGGGATTGCTGGCAAGAAGTTGTATCTATGGGGAAAGAGTCTGGTGTGTCACTTGTGTGTGTCTCCTCAGATAACTTTCTCAGCCTCCTTATGTTTTACTAAGTTCATACCAAATATAACTGATCTGAAGTTTATTTTTCCTGACATAAACAAATACATTCTCACCTTTTCCCTGTTAGTTTTATGATTCTGATTTTACTGTTTTCTCTTTCTGAAATGGTTGGTGCTGTCCCTTAGTTTGTGTGTATATCTGACAAATTTTTGCTTAGAGGTATCTGTGATAAATCATCCAGCAGTGATGAAATGCCTCGTGGAGTTAGTAGGTGTTTTACATTTTCCGGGGATATATTTTTTGTGTGTGTGTGACCTTAACTTGGTGTAAAGTGGATGGATTGTTAGTAAGCACAACGGTTTTGCTTCTGTCATGTTACCAAGAAGATTTGAGGAGGTCTAGGGTGTTACAGTAGGACTTTCCTTAATCTTCTTTCAAAAGGGCAACCATTCTTTGGCCTCATCCAAAGACTTGTCCAAAAGTGATTTTTCTGTTGCAGCAACATTTTATCTCTTTGTCATCCCCCACCTCAGCTGTCTTCATCTGTGTGTGTGCTGTTTTGGAGCATCATGGTTCCGTTTTGGTGAAGGCTCTTTGTAGCCCTGCCTGAAAGTATGGAGAGGGAAGAGTGGAGGGGAGAAGGTTATTCCAGAGTTTTAGGTGGTACCCAACTCATTTTTTGGCACAAAAGGACCTCTTATATATTCTAGCTCTCCAGTGATCTCCTAATCCTGTGTAAATTACTTGCCCACTATTGGAGGAGCAGATTATCAGGAGGGAATTCATTTCATGTGCTGTTTTTGTATGCATAGCTATGTATTATCCACTTAAATGAATGCAGAAGCACACCTGGAAACCTTCGCTTGCAGTTTTATTTTAGCAGATATTTGAAGTATACAGTTGTCCAGGTACTACTACAACACAGATTTCCTTATGACATAGTCCTCTAATTTTTCCTGTGCTACTCCATGATCTCCAATAAACCTGTTATTTTCTATAAATCTCTGTTATGATATCCACGGAGTGGTGGGGAATTCCCTGGAGGTGCAGCTACTTTGAAGAGTGAGTGAAAGAGCTGAAGAGAAGTCATGTAGCATTATAAGTTTATGAGTACTTATTGTTAAGGAGCAGTAACCTTAAGGCAATATGAGTTCTCAGTTGAGTCAACATAATAATTCAGTGTAGTTTAGATAAGGCTGTTCTATAATCTCTCTTTACATCAGTGAATTGAAACCTAAATTATATTATGTTTGCTAGTCAAAAGTACTGCAGCTATAATTTATTGTTCTTACCTATTTTTTTCCCGTAAATAAGAAGAAAAGGATATTTAAAATGTAAATAGAGACCTAAAACTGCTAACAAATTTTTAAGGAGTTCCACTTTATGAACTTTGTATTTGTTTTTTTATATAAATATAAGTAGGTCTAACTTGAAGGTTGGCTCTGCTTTGATCAGGGGTTTGGGCCAGATAACCTATGTAAGAGAGGCTTGGAGTGGAGGAGGGAGCTACGTACAGATACATACTAGTATTTGGCTTTTAGTTAATATTTTGTTTAGAAGGAAGTAAGAAAGGAATACTAAACACTTCTTCTGACTCTAATTTCAGGTTTTTGTGATTATGTATTTAAAGTAGTTTTATTTGCTTAAATGAGTTAAACTAGTTGTCTCTAGGATACTAACATAGAAAGAAATCCTAAAATATGTAACAGTTTTTTGTCATCTAAAAATATATGACCTTCAGTGTTACGAGCACAGATTTAAAATATGAGCTAATATGAGATTGTCAGAATGTATTCTTTTAATATTTGATATTCTACTTTTATTGATAAGTCATACATGTTTATTGAAGGGCAGATATGTTTTAAGTGTTTTATATGCTCTGTCTAGAAAGAAATTGTTATCAGATTATCAACAGATAATGGAAAAAAACCTCATTTGAAAAGTGTTTCTATTTTTAATGGAAGACTATAATGTAACTTGGCAAATCATATTTATTAGCACTAGGTTAATCAACACATTCTTTACATCCAAATCTAGTTATGTTTTCATATTCCTCAACACTGCTTCTGTTGTATACTCTTGAGTCAGTGTGACAAGTCCCTGTACTAACATTTTCGTGTTCATGGACAATGGTACGGAGGAGTACGTTGCAAGCATCATGCTTTGCTTTTTCTTGCCATTAGTTTTAAGATTTATTCCCTTTTTGTCTTAGCAATGCAGATGATAATCTCTTTGCAAGCAACCACTTAGGGAAGCACACAGCAATTTTTTTAAAGGTTTGTATGCATTTTCAGAAGACAATGATCATCTGGGTGTCTTTCACAGCTCAGGTTCTTACCAGTATAGTTTTGTGATAGGTAGTGGTTTGGGATTTTTATTTTAAAGAAAGTTTATTTTATCTCAGAGCGCTTTATGGCATCACTGTATACTATGATGTTTGGAGGAGCAACAAAGAATTGGAGACTAGGATTATTGGGTGGTTTTTATTTACATACTTTTTCAAAGCAAGGGAGTAGAACATGCCAGATTCTGTACACATTGTTGAAGGACAGCCTGTTTGTGTCTGATACATTAGAGCAGTTGTTCAAACATAGATTATGAAGGGAATATGAGTCCTGTAACATTAGGCAAGGTTAGTTGCCTTTTTGAGTTACGTTTCACATAAATATTATTTCTGCAAGGTAAGAACTGTCAAGGGCTGAACTAATGTGTTCACCTGAGTTTTGAAAAGCTATTCAAATGTTTCCATGGGCATTAAAAATTGACAGAATGTATCTTCTCTTTGCATGTATGCAGGTTGCTTTTTTGTTTGATTTTTTTGAAAACTTTTCACTTTTCTCTTAAGTGAATCAATTTTAAAATCTGCAATAAATTCGTCTTTCACACTAGCTGCATTTAAAAAATGCAACCTTCTGGCTGTTAATTGTTAAATAAAATAAGTAATTCATACCACAATGATTTAAGACCAGTTCAATCTCCTTAAGCCATTTATTGTATTATGTGTGTTTATTGTATTATGTGTATTTTTAAATGCTTTTCAGGACATTATTCCAGCACCTTTAAAAATTGAACAGCCATTTACTATGCAGAGAAAACAAATAAGAGAGTGGAAGTACAGGGTAGCTTTCTTGTTTTTTAAAATGGTACTGTATTTAGAATTTATTTTGGTCCTAGTTTCATTGTTTGCTCTTATGTAGCAATATTCATTCAGAGCTGAAGACTCCCTTTAGAGGAACGATGGGAGACAGAAAATAATGTAAGCAACTTTCTGTCAAATGTAATTCTTAAGTCTTAGGTTCATAGTTATTCCAGCTTCCTGTTTTAATAGTTAGGCAGTGTAGAAGAGAATGTTTGTGTGTGTGTTGCTGTGTGGTTTCTTACTGTTTTTTTAAATAAATATTTTTCTCTATTTCCAAGTAAGTTTAATATGCAACTGTTAATCAAGCCAACCGTTCACTCTGTCATTGACCTGAAAAAATGAATACCATCTTCTTGATTATATTAAAAAGTTAACTTACATATCACTTACTCATTCCATAGTCCTGACAATGTTGAATTGTGTTGTGTTTCAAGAAATCAGTGATAAAAATCATAAGAGAGTTGCTTGTGGGGTATTTTTCATATCCCATGAGGATATCAGTTTGACTATGGGTTAGCAACAGTAGTTCATTTAAAAAAAAAAAACACAAAATAACAAAAGGGACAGATTTCAAATTTAGATAGCAGTCAGAGTTGTGATTCTAAGCCAAATCTCTTTTTAGGGATTAAAAATTGCAAATAAGTAAATGTTAGTACTTCTAAAGATCTTTGAATGGGCAATGCTGTTTTCTGTTTTATCCTTCTCATGTCTTTCTTCCTCTCAGTTTTTGTTTTGCAGCTTCATCTTTTTACTTAGTCCTAGACCACAATTTTTATTAATTTAGTTAAAGCAATAACAAAAAAATGAAAAATTTTGAGAGGTTTCAGACTAAGTCAAATGTATCCACAAGGTGTCACTATAATAAAAGTTTAAAAGACTATTTTTTTTCTGTTTAAACTTGTTTAGTGAAACTGTTATTCCTTAGTGTATGTTGTGCTTGTGTACTAAACTTCCCAGATTTACAGAATCATTCTGGTTTGTTGTTTTTGCAATAGAGAA